ACGGGACATGTAGTCCACTAAGGCTGAACGAGGGAAGCGGAACACACAACATCTCCCAGCATACACCGCTTCCACCTAGTTCTACAAACAGTAATGGCGTCGCTCGGAGACGATACGGTATCTGTAGCCGTGGAGGAGCAGGGGGAGAAGAAGACTGCGCCGGTGTCGTTTGGTTTCACTAAAACTGTGAACAAATTTAAACCGGCAGCCGGCGGCATTGCGTCGAAAAGTGACGAAAGAGATTTTTTGACTGGAATTGACAGAAACGAACTACAGAGGTAATGCTAACTGGCTGGGCTAACCTAAGCTGTCAGTCGTTAACGTAATGGTTACGTTTAATCTTATCGTTCTGCTCTGAATTACTGCGTATGAGTTTACACACGCACAGCAGGGAGTGCTAATCTGAGTTTGTGACGTCCGTCTTTCTTGTCTCAGTTCTAAACCCACCGAGAAGCCGAAGGAGCTCATCATCCCTCTGATCCAGAAGAACCGCTGGCACAAACCGGACCTTGGGCCTCAGACTAGAGAAAATGAAAACAAAACAGAGGAGACGAGTCAAAATAATGACGCCATGGTTTCTCAGGCGGTTAAAGAACTTATTGAAGGTGTGTCAATGAACCAAACACGTCAGCGTGAACAATGAGAGCATCATCAGTGTCTATAAAACCTCCCGGTCTCTTGTGTTTGTAGATTCACGAAGGCAGCTGGAGCAGTGGCAGAATGGATCGGAACCAGACCGAAACCTCAACTTGTCCATTCCCCTCCTGATGCAAAACAAAGTGCCGGAGGGCTTTGAGGATGGAGACCACATGAAGGTGGACCTGCGGCCTGAATCTGTGAGTCAGGACAAATATGCAGAGCTGTAGGGGGTTTCAGAGTAAATTTAATTATCATGTAATAAGAGATTATTTAACAAAATTCATATCTAATTGAACTAAATCAAACTTGTAGCCGTAAAACTTAAATGTTCAGAGTAAAGAGTGAGAAAATATAAGAAAATAAACAGCTCAGAGATCCAAAGAAAAGTTTAAAGACTAAAACAACTGGACTTTTTTTTGTAGCTGAAGATGTTTCTTTTCTCATTCGAGGAGCTTTCTCAGTTCAAAGTACAGGGAGTGTGAGGTTCGAGTTATAAAGCTGAGGTGTTCTCTAAGCTAGATACACATGCAGATTGCACTCTCACTCCTCACGATATGGGAGGTTCGTTAGGGTCTTTGTTAGCTCTTCAGAATAAGACACAGCTGTTCACTTACACCTCAAGGATAAGGGACACTCTTGAGGACCAAAATGTTCACAATTTGCACTGAGAATACAAACGGTTTGAGAGGGGGGTGAAGAAAGCCATATGTAAAAACATCTTTAAACTGAGGAGGAGATCTCAGATTTCACTTTTCAAAAACCTACAATTCAGCATTAGGCCTGATCCCCAGTCATTTTCACTTCAATCAAGACCTTTTTTCATATTACCAGAGTGTCCCATCTATGAGTCAGACTATAGGGCTGGACAATATGGCCAAAACTTTTATCACAATATATTTCTTAATTTGGGTAGATAACGATATAATTCGATATCGCTATAAAAAATATAAAAGCCTCAGAAAAACTGTACAAACTGTACAAATAATTTAATGTTCACCATTTATTTGTATTTAGCCTTCTAAGAAATTTGAAATCACCGTCAAATAAGCATAAAACTCTCAACTTTGTCAATATTAATAGTTTTAACTTTAAACAACAACATAACCTAACAATCCATGCAGTAACCGTCTGTGTTTCTCTTTTGATACAGCTGGGGGTGATGTTTCAGGGACATGTTGGCTCAGATTTTATTGTGCTTCATCTTCTGACTCAGCATATTCTGTCAAGTGGAAACTCTTCAGATGGAACAAGTCAGATGTGTTCCCACCGCTAGTTGGAACGACTCCATCACATTTTGCAGCACACTGAAACCAGCAGTTTATCAGATCTTAGAAAGCCGAACCACTTCTACATCGCCAAATTAGTCTTTCCTCTCTTATCAATTATGTCATCTGCTTTCTCTTTACTTGTGAAAGCTTGTTCAGTCACATTCTGACGGTGATGCACACTCATTTTGAAGTGAAAACTTAACGCGCATTGGAGATTAGCCTAGCCTGCTACCGCTAACGCTTTCTGGTAGTGATGTGCAAATCATTTCCAAAGTATTGATACTATAAATACCAGAATGTTTCGCTCTAAAATCGATGTTTAAATCAAACTATCGATACTTTTGATAGTTCAGTTGTTTCAGGTAATGCATATCATTAACAGGAAGATGGTGGAAAGTAACTAAACTATTGAGATATTCATTAAATGATGCATGGTTGTAGGGAAATAGTTTTTCTTCCACCTGAGTACGTGCATAATGCATTTAAGCGCAGTGGCATGCTGCTCGTCAGTCTGTAGACACAGTGGCGGAGCTTAACAGAGTCATGCGTGAAGCTATTTCAGCTCCAAAAACAGCCAAGAAGTGGTTTGTGAGGTTTGTGGAAAATCTGTAAAGAGTTGTAGCAACACAACAAACCTTGTAAAACACTTCCTGTTGAATCGCAACACAGAATATGAAGCATTAATGAGGTGGACAGAGGAGGAGAGCAAAGAGTCAGGTGCTGCTGCTGCTCTGGAGGAGTTCTTCAGGGCTGCTGGACTGTCCAAGTACAGAGGGAGGAAATGTGGATTTTTCAGCAGTGCTAAGAACTGCTGCAGTTGGAGTTGTTCAAATTAATACATATGGTTATGAAATAATTAACAAAATGAATTCATGCTTCAACAACTAGTTGCATGAGTTCAGTTTAAGTAACAATAGGCCTATGTGTATCATTGAGATAATCTCACATGGGCAAAAAAGCCTAGATTTCTTCAGGTAAGGTTTCATAAAGAATAGATAATTTAAAGTGGATTACATGGACCAGGTGTCATCAAATTATACAGAGCAACGGTGATAAAACAGCCTTGGTGAACTCCGAAAAATATATACTACAAAATATGGATAAAATATAACATATTATCTTAAACATATATCTTATTATTTAATAGATATTTAACTATTTATTTCAATAGTTTCACGATTTTCTTTATTTTCTAGTTTTTATTGTTTAAAAAAACATTTTCACATATTTTGTATGATGTCCTGTTTGCTTTATAAGCTCAAACTAAATGAGGCCACTGCAGCAACATACTCCTGAGTTTAAAATAAATAAATTACTTTGTCTTGCATTCTTTATGCAGCTGGGATTTGAATACACTGCCTTTTTTTAGGTTTACCTGACACATTAGGCGTATTTGCACAAAGTATCTGCATCGGTATCGATACCACCGATACTTGCAGGAAGTTTATCCGGCATCGTATCGGACCAGAAAATCCGGGTATCGAACATCACTACTTTCTGGACTCAAGTTCTGCGGTACATCATCACGCACTTACGTAGTTGTGTCGCACCTTTTTCTGTCTGGGTTGAAACTGAAGCGGCCACTTCAACCCAAAAAGAAATGCATCATTGAAACGCTGTAATCATATCGAAAATGTGCTTCAAACTCATATCACCGTTCTTAAAAAAAGTTAAATCTGGTCCTCTGGACATTAAAAAAAACAAAACAAAAAAATTGTAGAAACGTTTCGTCTTTGGGTGCATTCCTGTGCATTCCTGTTGGTGTTGCAGTAGAGGTGGTCAGTTTAAGATTAAAATCAGACACCACTCTGAGCAGCAGAACCACGCTTTCCACAGAACAACTGTGTCAACTCTTGAAACTGTGCCTGCAGTCAACCTACTTCACATATGGGGAGCAATATTATAGGCAGAAACATGGGTGTGCTATGGGGTCTCCAGTTTCTCCTATTGTTGCCAACCTGTACATGGAGGAGGTAGAAAAGAGAGCCTTGACGTCCTTTTCAGGGACACCACCAAGTCATTGGTTCAGGTATGTTGACGACACCTGGGTTAAAATCAAATCTCAGGAAGTCCAACATTTTACTGACCACATCAACTCTGTGGATAAATACATCAAGTTCACACAAGAAGATGTAAAAAATGGCAGGTTGGCTTTCTTGGACTGTGAGGTCTCAGTCTCTGATAGAGGACATTTGCAAACTGAGGTGTACCACAAACCCACCCACACAGACCAGTATTTGCAGTTTGACTCCCATCACCCTTTGGAGCACAAGTTAGGAGTCATCAGGACTCTGTACCACAGAGCAGACAGCGTCCCCACTAGCTCAGGAGCCAGGCAGAAGGAGAAATCCCACACAAGACAGGCTCTAGAGCAATGTGGATATCCTAACTGGGCCTTCCTGAAAGCAGAGAAGAAACCCAAACAGATCTCCAGCCAGCCATCAGGTGAAAAGGAGGAACCCAGACCCAGACCAGTGGTCATTCCATATGTTGAGGGAGTATCAGAGAAACTGAGACGTTTATTTTCTAAACATAACGTCCCAGTGGCTTTTAAACCCCAAAATATATTACGGCAAAGACTGGTTCATCCCAAAGATCCAGTCCCCCGGCACAAACAGAGTAATGTTGTGTATGCTGTTCAGTGTCAGGAGGGCTGTGATCAGTCTTACATCGGGGAAACTAAACAGTCACTGGCCAAAAGGATGGCCCAGCAAAGAAGATCAACATCATCAGGCCAGGACTCTGCGGTCTACACTCATCTCCAGGCCAGCGGTCACTCTTTCAAGGATGAAGATGATCACATCCTGGATAGAGAGGAACGATGGTTTGAGAGAGGAGTAGAGGCCATCTTTGTTAAAAGAAATCGTCCATCGTTAAACAGGGGTGGAGGCCTACGTGTTCAATTGTCCCCCTCTTACAATGCTGTGATTGCTAGTATCACTCAGCCCTCTGTGAATAGTAAACAGTCATCAGTGTGCTAATGATCCATTGTTAGGCTGATGGTCCTTCTTGACCAGGTGAGCAGCTGGTTTTGGTTGTCAGCAGCAAAACTGGTTGATCCACTCTGAGAAGGTGCTATTTAAGAGACTGAGCTGAATACAGCTCCTCAGACTGAGGAAGTGTCTTGGATGAAAGACCAAACGTATCTACATTTTTTTGTTGTTTTGAGTGTCCAGAGGACCAGATTTAATTTTTAGATTTTTCTACCTGGATTATTGAGCATGCATTAGGATATCATATCACCATTATTGATTTGAAGTATATTGCGACATATATCAATATCAAATTATTGTCCGGCCTAAGTCAGACTAACAAAGGCCCTGAGTCTCCTCCTGGTGGGACATGTCTGGAACACCTCACCAGGGAGGCGTCCAGGAGGCATCCTAACCAGATGCCCGAGCCACCTCACCTGGCTCCTCTCGATGTGGAGTAGCAGTGACTCTACTCTGAGGCCCTCCTGGAAGATCTGGAAAACAGACATTTAACAACAGCAAAACTTCTACATTCCCGAGTTAATTTCAAGTTTCTAAGTAACAGGATGAAGTGACGTGAAGACTGATAGATTATTTCAGACGGGTGTTTCAGTGAGGTCATAAAAATACCTGACAGCACAAAATGTTGTATACAGTAGACTGGCAGCTAAAAGTAGAGTGTGTGAAAATGCTGAGTAAAACAACATTGCTTTGTGCATGTACAGCGGCATAAATATGCAGCGATGACTCTCAGTGCAGTGAGGCTTCAGTGACAGACGGGCATCAGCGTTATCCCCAGAGACATGGAGGCAACCAATCAGATTTCTTTCTACAAGAGGCCTTGCACGTATCCTCTGTATCAGTTTATCAGTTTGGCATTCAATCACTGTGTTTGTGATTGGCAGCATGTACAGTAAGAATCAAGGCAAACCGACTCGCTGTGGCCACTGGCTCGTCTAAATCCCGTCTCCTCTGTGAGAGACGGCTCCCAGCCACCCTGACACGACAGACTTCAGGGGAGACAGGAATGAGTGGGGGGACTGCTCAGATCAGTCCGGGCTGAGTGTGACAGCCTGAGGCCAAAAGGCTGAGTAAAGCAGACGTTACAAACGGCTTCTTCTGTCAGTTGCCATTAATGGTTTTGTTGTGTTTCAGAACTCCAAGATTACATAAGATCTTCATTTAAGCCCTTGGGCTGTTTGTTTCCCAATTTCTTCATTTATTTATAGATCAAATGACACTTGATTGCATGTGTTGTCAGTCAACAGAGGCAGATTATGAGAGTGTTCCTGTTGAAGCTTATGGACTTGCTATGCTGAAAGGAATGGGTTGGAAGAAAGGAGAAGGCATCGGACGAACCTTTAAACAGTAAGTAACTGCACTTAATTCTGCTTTACTGTTGTCTTTCCTAATGTCAATCAGTGAAAATGATGTTTACTATGAAAATAAAAATACAGTAATTTAAAGACTGTTTGGACCTCATCATCTTCTTTCAGCTTTTCCTTCTTCAGGGGTCGCCACAGCGAGTCATCCTCCTCCATCTCACTGTCCTCTGCATCCTCTGTCCTCACTCCATCTACCTCCATGTCCTCTCTAACTGCATCCATATATCTCCTCTGTCTTTTTCCTGACAGCTGCATTTCTAACAACCTACTACCAGTATACCCACTGTCCCTCCTCTGGACATGTCCAAACCATCTCAGTCTGGCCTTTCTAACTTTATCTCCCAGTTGTTCAACCTGTGCTGTACCTCTGATCTCATTCCTAATCTTCTCCATCCTTGTCACTCTTAAGGAGAACCTCAACATCTTTATTTCTGCCACTTCCAGTTTATTTTCCTCTCTTTTTGTCAGTGCCACTGTCTCCAGGACATTCAGCATAGCTGATATCACAACTGTCTTGTAAACTTTTCCTTTGACTTATGCTGACACCCTGAAACTTTTCTCCATCCACTCCATCCTGCCTGGACTCTCTTCTTCACCTCTTTACCACACCCCATTTTCCTGGACAGTGGACCCTAAGTACTTGAAGTCCTGCACCTTTGTGACCTCTGGTCCTTGTAGCCTCACTGTTCCACCGGACTCCTTCTCATTCACACACATGTACTCTCTCTTACTACGGCTGACTTTCATTCTTCTTCCTTCAAGTCATACCTCCACCTCTCCAAGTTCTCTTCCACCTGTTCTCACCACAGATCACAATGTCATCTGCAAACATCAAAGTCCAGGGAAATTCCTGCCTGACCTCATCTGTTAGTCGGTCCATCACCAGAGCAAACAAGAAGGGGCTCAGAACTGATCCTTGATGCACTCCCACCTCCACCTTGAAACTATATGTCACTCCTACAGCCCATCTCACCACTGTCCTGCTGTCCTCATACATGTCCTGTACCAGTCTAACATACTTTTCTGCCACTCGATTTCCTCGTGCAATACCACACCTCCTCCCTCAGCACTCTGTCAGATGATTTGTCTAAATCCACAAAGACACAATGGAGTTCTTCTGACCCTCTCTGTACTTCTCCATCAACATCCTCAAAGCAAAGATGGTGTCTGTGGTGCTCTTTCTCAGCATGAAACCATTCTGCTGCTCACAGTCACCTCTCGTCTAAGTCTTGCTTCCACAACTTTCTCCCAGATCTTCATCGTGTGACATCAACTTAATTCCCCTGTAGTTGCTACAACTCTGTACATCACCCTTGTTCTTAAAAATGGACACCAGCACACTTCTCCATTCCTGAGGGATTTTCTCACCCTCAAATACGCCATTGAATATTTGAGTCAAAAACCTCACTGCCATCTCTCCAAGACATTTCCAAACATCCACAGGTATGTATTCGGGTCCTACTGTCTTCCCCTTCTTAATTTTTTTCAGAGCTTTCCGGGCTTCACCCTCACCAATCTTTCCCACTTCCTGGTCCACAGTTTCTATGACCTCTACTCTTCTTTCTCTTTCATTCTCTTCATTTATTAGCTTCTCAAAGTACTCCTCCCATCTTCCTGTCACACCCTCCTCACTTGTTAGAACATTACCATTCCTACCTTTAACAAGCCTAACCTGCTACACATCCTTTCCAGCCTGATCCTCTGTCTCGCCAATCTGTACAAGTCTTCTTGTCCTCTTTAGTGTCCAGCCTCCCATACAACTCATCATACACTTTCTGCTTTGCCTTTGCTACCTCCCTCTTTGCTCTACATTTCATCTCCTTATATTCCTGTCTCCTCTTCAGTCCTCTCACTGTCATTTTTCTTCTTGGCTAACCTCTTTCTTTGAACAGTGTCCTGCACTTCACTATTCCACCACTAGGTTTCCTTATCATCCATTCTCTGTCCAGATGACACACCAAGTACCTTCCTACCTGTCTCTCTAATTACTGTTGCTGTAGTAGCCCAGTCATTTGGAAGCTCTTTCTTACCACCCAGAACTTTTAACAGCACCTCTCTGGACTCCTCACATAATTTTTCTTCAGCTTCCACCATTTGGTCTTCTCTGATTTTACTCTTTTTCTCTTCTTCACAACAAGTCATTCTCCACACAACCATCAGATGCTGTCTGGCCATGCTCTCCCCTGCTACATCCTTACAGTCCCAATCTCCCTGTTTGAACCTCATAAACATGGAAAAGTGTCAGAAGGCCACCCTTTAAATTTTCTTCGTGTTGAATCGCCGCCTCTTTTAACAACACTGAACTCAACTGAGAGCAGCTGCTGTAGCTTTGAAAGTAAAATATTTTGTCATTCATGCTTGATGGAACAGTTCAAGGCATTGTTGCTTTTTTTTAAACAATGGACTAGTTTTTCCAGATAACACAATAATATGATTTGACTTGTAGGTTTGTTTTTGTACATCCAGTACATACTTCTTTAGTGTAGAGCTTTAATTTAAATGTAACGACAAAGTGTGTTCATTTTTTTCTGAAGTGTTCTTGATCTCCTGAAGAGATTTTCACCACATTTGTTGTTGTGTTTCTATTTTTATTGCAGTGTTGCCTCGAGGCTTGAAAATCACAGTCTTTCAGTTTGTTTTTGTCTTGTTGCCTTTGCACAAAAATTTCCCTGTATCCTGAATTTTCTTTTATTATTATTCACTGTATATGATGAAAGTCCTAAATCAATGTTATATTTACATTAAGAAACGTTTTTTTAATTATTGAGTTAAACTAAGTGTTCAACATCTCCTGATCTTTATTTTTAAAGACTTTATGCCTCGTTGAGATTTTTCTTTTTGTTAAATCATTTTAGTAGCTTGTTAATACTTGATCTTTTTTATTTCAAGTACTATTTGCTGGTATCAAATAAAAAAAATGGCATTAAAAGCTATGCAGTTACATGTACTGTGAATGTGTAAAAGGAGTAAATACCGATGTTCTTTTTTTATAGACTATTTCCTCAAACCGTCACATTTGTTATCAGTTTAAACTTTAATCCTACAAACACAGCTGAAGTTGTGTCTGCCTCCAGCCTGTTTTTGATCCTGCACATGTCCACATCTTTGTTTATTGATTTTATGCTCTTTCTTCCTGTCGGCTAAAGAGATGTGAAGCCGATCGAAAACCAGCTCCGTCCAAAAGGCCTGGGTCTTGGAGCCGATCGTTCAGCGATAAAGGATCTGGAGCCCAGAAGACAGCAGCGTCCCCCGAAGCCAGGCGAGGATCGTGCGAAGGAGGAGGAACTAGTGATGGGTCCAGGGGGTTGTGTGCTGGTGCAATCAGGAGCACATAAAGATCTTTATGGCAAGGTAATAAAAAATCTCTTTTGTTTTGTTTACCTATTGTTAACTATGCTTTATTTCTGGAATAACTTCTTTGACCTCTCATTCTCGTGTTTCAGATAGAGGGTGTTGACGCAGACAACGCTCGAGTGGTGGTGAAGCTCGCCATAGGTGGAAAGACAGTGACAGTCAGCCAGTACAACATAAAACTGGTTGGAGGGAAAGAATACGACAAAAACAGCAAAGACCTCAGTGAGTGGTACCATTATTTAGTTTATTTAAATTCAAAAACTGGCAAAAAAAAGTTAAGTCAGGTCCTCTGGACGGTTTCTTTTTGTTGAAACGTTTCGTCTTTCATCCAAAAGTCTTCATCAGTCTGAGGAGCTGCAACAAACTCAGTGGGTCAACCAGTTTGATGGTGCTCAGATGGTCTGTGCAGTCCACCCTCTCCCCCGTCAACTCGTTTGAGGCATTCTTGGCCAAAGTGGTTCAGAATAACCTGATTCATTCAACAAAAATTGTGATTTTTCTACCTGGATTATTGAGCATGAATCAAGATGTGTCAGACTTACTTTTTTAGAATAAAGGAGTTGTTTTTATTCCAAGAAATTTCAGACTGTGTACAAAAACAACCAACACACAGCAGATTAAGCCACACCTTGTATATACAGTGGTCTCTTCTTAGAATCACATGACTCAGAATCAAACACGTTCTCACAATAAGTCCGTTTTTGTACTAATGAGGATGATTTTTTTTTTTACCAAACAGGCCGACTCAGTAAAGCCCACAAAGACAAGGAGAAGGAGAAAGAAAGAGAAAAAGAACGAGAGAAAGAGCGACAGAGACGGGAAGAGAAAAATAAAAGCAGCAACAGTGACAAAACAAAACACAAGTCATCAGAAAGAGACGGAGGAAGAGAAGATAGGAAGAGGAAGCACAGAGAATCCAGTCGAGACAGGTACATTTTCACACAAAGAGAAATTTGGATATTTGTTTCCTAACAATCAATATTTGAACCTGAATTATTTAAACCATTTTAATTTGTAACAATTACCTATTATTGATAAATTGGACTTTTATCTCTTCCTCTGCAGAGATAAGCCTCTAGTAAAAGAAGCAAAGCAGCCAGCAGCTCCCCCCTCGTGGCTCCAAAGGGACCTGAAAGTTCGCTTCATCGACAAACTGTTTAAAGGTGGCAGGCACTACAACTCAAAGGTAACAAAGACTCAGCTATTTTATTTAACTTTTATCTATAATTCAAAGAGATACTTGTTGGTGCAGCTGTGGCTGAGTGGTTAGAGCTGCCATTCTCCATTGGGGGAGTTGGGGGTTCGATTCCACCAGCAGTCACATGTTGAAGTGTCCCTGGGCAAGACACTGAACCCCTCATTACCTCTGATGTGTGTCCCACTGGTGTGAACGTGATCTAAGCACTGATCAGTCATTGTATAGATCTAGTACAGTGCTGTATGAATGTGTGTGTGGAGCTAAATGAGGACACAGATTATGTTGTAAAGAGCTTTGAGTATCTTGATTAGATAGAAAGATGCTATATAAGTACAGTCCATTTACCATGTACTATTGTATACATTTGTGGTCTTTATTAAAAATGTGGAAAAAAAACTGAAGTCTTTTTCACAATCCTACTTACATCTTTACTACGTACAATGCCTCATGCCACAAGTCTCTTTTAAATTAATATCTCCAGTTATTCAACACTAAAACTCGAAAAGCTTAATATAAAATTCTGAAATTCTTTAATTCTGATCTTTTTTATTATACTTTCACTTTAAATTAATCACCCTGTTGAACAGGCAGTCATAAACTTTCTGGTGTAGAAGTAGAAAGAGCAATTACTGAAAAGTCGAACCGTTACAGCATCATGATCAGTGGGTCTCTGTCAGTTTTTAAAGTCAGCCTGACTTGTGCTCAGATGCGAGTGGAGGATGTCCTGACGCCGTTTACCTGTGTGTGCCGAACTGAAGAGGGAAGACTGTTAGACGGTGAGTCATCAGTGTTACCCAGGTGTCATTCTGTGCTCATTTCCTCTGCTTCTTTTATTTACTTATGAACTACACGGTTTTTTTTGTTACATTTATTTTAGGAAATCTTTTTATTCATAGCCTGATATTTTTATTTATGTCACAATCAGTGGTGTAGTCTACATTTTTGTAGTGGGTATGCTGTGCTTAGAAACCAAAGTACACCGGTTAGTACAATGTAATTGTCAATTTATTTTGATTTTTAAACATATTGAACATTTCTAAATTTCTCTGATGCTTATATTTATACTTATGCTCACCCATCAGTCCTCAATGACTATAGACCTGTTGCCCTGACATCCCACATCATGAAGGTCCTACAGAGACTTCTGCTGACCCACCTGACTAGACAGACAAGCACATATCAGGACCCACTGCAGTTTGCTTATCAGCGTGGACTTGGCGTTGAAGATGCCAACATGCACCTGCTTCAGCAAACCCACTGTCATCTAGAAAAGGCAGACAGCACTGTGAGAGTCATGTTCTTTGATTTCTCCAGTGCATTTAACCCAATCCAGCCTGATCTACTTTGTCAGAAACGTTAGAAGACTCGGGTGGAGGCCTCAACAATCACCTGGATCAAAGACTACCTGACAAACAGACCACAGTTTGTGAGACTGAAGGGTTGTGTGTCTGACCAGGTGGTCAGTAGCTCCGGAGCACCACAGGGGACTGTACTCTCACCATTCCTTTTCACTCTGTACACCTCAGATTTCCAGTACAAAACAGACTCTTGTCATCTGCAGAAATGTTCAGATGACTCTGCAGTGGTCGGGTGTATCAGAGATGGACAAGAAGCTGAGTACAGGGAACTGGTGGACCGCTTTGTGGCATGGTGTGGAAACAATCATCTCATCTTGAATATGAATAAAACAAAGGAGATGATTGTAGATTTCAGGAGAAACAGGAACAGGTCCAACCCTATTTCCATCATGGGAGAAGAAGTGGAGGTGGTGGAGAAGTATAAATACCTTGGAGTTCACCTGGACAACAGACTGGACTGGAGATGCAACAGTGAAGCGTCTACAAGAAGGGACAGAGCAGACTGTACTTCTTGAGGAAGCTGAAGTCCTTCAGTGTTTGCAGCAAGATGCTGCATGTCTTCTATAAGTCTGTTGTAGAGAGTGATATCTCTTCTGCCATCATCTGCTAGGAAGATGTCTGTCATGGTATGAAGCAAGGTCAGGATTCACCATTGACTGGGACTAAAACCCAAACAGTGGTGCTGTAAGCTGCATTAATGATAAACTGCTCTGTCGAGCGTGTCTGCGGCATCACTGACCCTGCATGCATTACTCACATAAAATAAAGATGGCCTCCGTTATAAACGTGTTCAACTTTAAGAGCTGATTAAATGTTTTACACGTTGTGTTTCAGTAGAGCATAAAGCTTAAGGTGCCATTAGTTGTGTTTTCAGTAATATTTCAGTATTTTTCACAATTAGTAGATTCATTTTATTAATTATAAACTGTTGTAACCTGCATAATTTCTGTTTTTTCTTTTTTCTGGCATAATCACTTGCTGTCTTCAGCCTTTCTGTGTATAGTTGAAATGTGCTGCATATTGTGACCAATGTGATTTCTGCAGTTATATTTTATGTGTGCATCAATTTTCATTTAAAGCTCATATTTTCTGACACCTCATACATACAGACAGTTGATGTGGTGTCTCCACACATTTAGATGGAATTACAGAGATAATCAGTGCCTCGCAGGCATAAGCAAACTTAACACGTCATTGTGCAGATCATAATTGGTGATTGATTACCTAATCTCCTCATGGTAGGCGTTCCTGTAAATCTGTGAGATCGTTAAGGTGTTTCTTTATTCTGTGGCAGATGTGAAGCAGGACATGCTGGAAACCATCATCCCAAAAGGCGATCATGATTCAGTGATGGTTGTACTGGGTGAACAGCGGGGACAGGTGAGCAGATAGTCATCATTCCAGTATTTCAGTAAATTCAGCTGCGGTCAGAAGTTTACATCCACTCATCATGAGCATGATTGTCAGCTTTAGTTTGTTCTTTCATGATTTATTCAAACCTTTCTTTTATTTGTTCAATGAATAAACAACAAACGACTTTACTGATGATTTTTAAAAACAAGAACTATGTGCACAAGTTTAATGAGACTTCTCTAGTCCACACAGAGTGTAAATTATACATACAGGTCCCAATATTATTATTATTATTATTATTATTACATTATTATTCAAATATTCATACACCCCACTAATATTTGGTTAAATGTTTATTGGCAAATTGCACCTTGACCCCAGGTGTTTTGTATCCTTCCACAAGGTTCTATAATTCCTGATGTTTGACCACTCTTCTGGGGCAGCTGTGGCTGAGTGGTTAGGACAGTCGCCCTTCAATGGACAAGTTGGGGGTTCGATTCCACCAGCAGTCACATGTTGAAGTGCCCCTGGGCAAGACACTGAACCCCTCATTGCCTCTGATGTGTGTCCCATTAGTGTATGAATGTGATAAAGCTCTGATTATTCTTTGTAGAGATCCAGTAGAGTGCTGTATGAATGGGTAAATGAGGGCACAGCTTGTAAAGAGCTTTGAGCGTCTTGATGAGATAGAAAGGTGCTGTATAAGTACAGTCCATTTACCATCTTCTTGGCAAAATTGGTAAAGTTTAGTTTCCAGGCACAGACCTGGCTTTTTAGTATAGTCCAGAAGTTTTTAAAAACATTAAGGTTGGGGTCATCTGGACTTGGTTTTTTTGTTAAAAAGAAACGTTTCGCCCCTCATCCAAGAGGCTTC